GGAAGGGAAGGGAAGGGAAGGGAAGGGAAGGGAAGGGAAGGGAAGGGAAGGGAAGGGCACAGCCGAGGGGTCGGGGCACTCACCGGTATCGCCACGGGGAGATGGAGCGCTCGTGGGCTTCGCTGCGGAGCCCGGAGCGCAGCGACAGCGCCGAGCACGAGTGAGGGCGGCTCCGCCACCGCCGCCGGGCCCGGCTGGCCTCCAGCTGTTCCAGATGTGGCACCAGCTGCACCGACACGTGGCGGTCCCAGCGCAGGGGCCGCCCCAGCAGCTGCGCTGGACACTCGTCCCCCAGATCGGCCCCTCTGTAGCAGAGCACGGCGGGGTGGGAAGGGACAGTGACAGTCCCTGGGACCGGGACAGGGACAGGGACGGGGACACCCGCGGGGCGCCGCAGCCCCCGACACTGCCCCAGCACCGCCAGCACGGCCAGGACAGACGGCCAGCCCTGTGGGGACAGAACGGAGCGTCAGGGACACCGCAGGGGACAGGGACACCACAGGGGACAGGGACACCACAGGGATTTCACATCCTCCACCCCAAAAAAGTGGCACAGGTGTGCAGGACAGGTGCACACACACACACACACACACACAGTGTAACACACACAGATATACAGCTATATACACTATATACACTATATATATGTATGTGTGTGTGTATATATATATATATATATAAAATATATATATGTGTATGTGTGTGTATGTGTATATATATATATATAAAATATATATATGTATATGTGTGTATATGTGTATATATATAAAATATATATATATGTATATGTGTGTATGTGTATATATATATAATATATATATGTGTATGTGTGCATGTATATATATAAAATATATATATGTATATGTGTATGTATATATATATGTAAACACAGAAAAAAAATCTATCCACACAGGGAGATGTACACACACACAGCTGTACACACAGAATATAGATATAGATGGATATAGATGGATATAAATAGATAAAGATAGAGCTGATTGATTGATTGATTGATTGATAGATAAATAGATGAATAGATGATAGAGATATACATAGGTATCTATATATAGGTGTAGCTGTATATGTGCATATATATAATAAATATACAGGTGTATATATATATAAAATATATATAAATAGAAACACAGGAAAAATATATCTAAAGAGAGCTGTACATGGGGACTGCCCACACACAGTATACATACAGAATATATATATATATAGATATACATATGATATAGATAGATTATAGATGATATAGATGATAGAGATATAGATATAGATATAGATATAGATATAGATATAGATATAGATATAGATATAGATACAAACAAAGAAAAAATACATATACAGAGAGCTGTACATGGGAACTGCTCCCCCCACAGTATACACACAGAATATATATTTTTATATATATATATATATATATATATAGATGTCTATAGATGTAAATATCTATATAGATATGTCTCTATCTCTATATCTAATATATATATATATATACAAACACAGAAAAAAATACATATATAGAGAACTGTACACACATTGGGACTGCCTGTACACACGCAGAGCTGTGCACATAGAATATATATAAATATAAAAAAAATTATATATATACACTATATTATATATATATATAGCACTGCGTGTCTGTACACACACAGAATACAAAATATACGTTTATATATAAATTTATCTATTTATTTAGATATTTATACATTTATCTATCTATTTATATATTTATACATTTTTATTTATTTATTTATTTGTTTATTTATTGGGTATACAGAGGCAGAGGCAGAGGGCCAGCACGCACCTATAGACCTATCTATATACTAGATAATGTATAATATATAAAAATATATTATAGATAAAAATATATAATATATATAATGTGTATTGTATACTGTATAAATTATATATGATGTAGTGATATATATAAAATACACAACGCATCTCTCATAAAATCTACATAGTATATGAACAATATATAACATATACAATAGAATATATAATTGATGTACATTATATAATATATAATATTTAATATATAATATATTATGTATAATTAATATATAATATATAATATTATATTCATTTCTGGATTTTTATATTTTTATATTTTACCTTTTTATATAGTGATATATCCATGTGCTAGACTGTAGATGCATATTACTGTTAGTAATAGATTAATATATAATTAACTATATATTAATATATATTTTAATATGCTAATATATTTTATATATTAATAGTATTTATAATTATAAATTAATATAATTATATTAATTATATAATAGAGTAATATATAATAAATTGTATCTTATATATTGTGTATAATTATAAAGCACAATATACATATATACATATATATTACACGTGTGTAGTTTATTTCTATATTTTTAATCTATATATTTTTATATGTACATATAGCACAGTATACATATAAAAATCAAAATATCATATTTATATTCGTTTATTTTATATTTATTTCTATTTCTATATAAATCTATTTTTATATTTATCTGTGCACACACGGCTGCAGTTAACCCTGTGCATTCACACCACACTGAAAACATCTGTGTGTGTGTGACAGAAATGTTAAATAAAAGGTAAACACCCCAGGAATTAAAATAAATAATAGAAAGAAAGGATAGAAGGGAATAATGTGAATAAAGAAAATATACATATGTATAATATAAATAAATAGAATTAAATATAATAAATTAGAAACAAATACAAATTTATAAATTTATATACTTATATTAAATTTATTATTTCATATATTAAATATAAAATATATATTAAAATATATAATATTATTTATTATACTAATTTTTTAAAAAATTTGAGTGTATGACATAAGCATAACTAGAAATAATGAAGTGAATAAATAAATATATAAACAGCTATAGACACACACGGACACAGAGATAAATAAACCCAGATAAATACAGATAAAAACAGACACAGCACACACCAGCAGGGCACACACACAGGATATAAATACATACAAACACATATAAACACATATAAATACATATAAATACATATAAGAACATATAAATATATGTGAATATGTATTTATGTGAGAGACACAGAGCCCTGCACGTGCTAACACATAAAATAAACACAGAAAATAAAAATACACACAGAGCCCTGCACATGGTGTGTAACACAAAATAAACACAAAATAAAAATACACACAGAGCTGTGCACATGATGTGTAACATAAAAAATAAACACACAAAATAATAATACACAGAGCC